CTTGACTAGCCAAGGCGGCTTGCATCCAGTCCAAGATAATCAGACAACTTGTCGAGAATTGCAACATTTTGTTTTCGCTCCTACCTATGACCTTTCTATCCAACGGCGCCGGTAACCTCTAATTTCCTCGAGCTTTGATTGGATATTATTTTTGTTTTGAAAGAGATTTCACAGTGACTCTAAAAAAAAAAGGTAAAAGCGAACAATTTGGTTACCAGCTTAAACGCCGTGCAATGCATGCCTTGGCGGTTCCTCAACTTTACAGTGATTTTTGAGTAAGCTCTGGCAGGAGCTTCTCCATGTCTTCTTGGTGGTCGGTCGGTCTGTCTGTCACAGGAAAATTTACCAAAACAATTGACGAAAAAATAAGCCCCTTACGTTTCCCACAAAATATAACTACAGTGGAATCTTAATAAGTCAAACCTCAAGGGAACAGGTTCAACATTTGACTTAAGCAGAGTTAAGTTTTGAGTTATCAGAGTTTGACTTATGGGGATTTCACTGTACCAAATTTTAACTTTCAACAAAAGCAAACAAAACAAAAATTGTTTGTAACAATTCGGAAAGATGTTTATGAAAAGTTTGTAAATGAAGTCAAAATATGTGCAGTGATGTTATAGTCAGGTGGTATTTATCACAAATCGCTATAGGTAGACATCTAAAGTATGGTGTTCCATATGTGCCATATCGGCGTCGCATTTGGGCTTGGCATTTTAAAGCTCTGACAGGGATCATTTTGATAGATTTCATTCAAGACATGTAGGCAAGACGGCCAGAACTTATTGCGCACTCGCATTTTGTTTTTTAATTCTAGTTGAAAGATGTTACAGCAGTCTTTTAGGTTTGCCGAAAAAAAGACAAGTTAAAGTCCTGTCACAAGATATCAACACATTAAATGTTGCGGTAGGACTGATTTAATTAAGCCTGAAGCTGAATACGTATGACTGTGGGTTTTTTTTTATCAGCGAGGCACGGTTGACTGAGTTGCTAGCAGCTCTGGGGCACTGCACTTTCACTTCATCACGCTAACAGGCGAGATACATGTATGTTGCATCAGTATTCGGTTGCAATTGAGATGAGAACATCAAGGTTGCTCTTAAGCAAATGAGAATATAATATGTCTAGACTATTCGATCCAATTCACTGGGGATGGTTCAGGGACAATAAAGCCACAAGGCTGAAATTATGATTGGGGAAGAAAGTGACCACTAAATTTAACAAGCTCGTGCTCTGTGCATCTATATCGTCGAGTGATTGGTCGGTAAGCTCGTAGTTCAATGGCTAGAATTAAAAATAATGTGTGAAGAACGCGGCAGGGTGTTAGCGAGTAGCATGCGGGTGACATGCTGATGGAGTTGATCAGCATTCTCGCTCGGGTTGTTGGAGTGTCCAGGTCTCCTACCGAGGGCGTTAATTTTCACGTGTACATGAAGACGGTTGTTGACAATACGAAAACGAAGGCTTTCAAGGAGATGAAGCATGTAGGGGTGACATTTCCGTCAATTAACTCATTCTCGCCCTACAAACAGACGCCACCAACGGCAGTTTAGAAAACTAAGGCACATTGGACCAAACGTATTAAATCAATTTATGTTGTAGTAGAATGAAATCGCAAAGTTCACCAACTGTTGTGAACGTATAATGGCGCGACGTTTAGTTTGCCATCCGATGGCACAGGAGCGGACGACACACGGCGTAATATCGATCCATTGTTACCATGACAACAATCTCCTTGCCGATTTTGAAAAAGATATCAAGAAACCGAAGGTTGACCGTTGAAGCATGAAAACCAGCCACCTCTAAGAGTATTCTCAATCACACCCTCTGAAATATCGGATACTGGCACATTTTAGTTGCTGTCGATTATAAAATGTCCGCCACGGTCAAGTTGGACATGTAGGCAGCTTCATCCATGACCATGCTCAGTTACCGCGCTCAGTATCGAGTCAGGGATTGACAGTTTTAGGGGAATCCAAATACAAATCCAGTCATGAAACATCCAAGACTATCCCTGAAACCGATAACTTCAACATATGTTTAATTATCCAATGTCTGGAATTACGCTTAGCGCTCACCTTATGCGTTACGCGTGTCTCGGAGGCCGTACTTTCTTTGCTAGTTTAACTGTTTACTCGTGCTTATCTATCTAATACAAAAACCATTGCCTTCCAACTCCGCCTTTACGCATTAGGTGTATCTTAAGATAATAAACGTGTCAGAGTCCGTTTGATTGCCGGTGAAGGAATGGGATTATTTGTACTGCCGGCAAGTATAAACACCCTAGCATATGTAAGAAAATGAGGCAAACTTTTTATATTGCACAAATGTGATTACAAACAATTCTACTGAAGAACTTGATCACGGAGCTGCTGATGTACCGTCTGAGTTGTTTAGATCTTGTCGTATTCCGTCTACTTGGGATGCGGTCATCTTCACATGACTAATTAAGGATGATGACATGAATGTTTCTGAGCTGATTCATGCTCAGCACAGAATTCCGCTAAGCGGTATTTTTGGCCTGGCGACTCAATGAAATATGGCCAAGTCTTTTGCAGCGACTGCGCTGCCCCGTTGGCGCCTAATGGTGTCGTGGTTAATGGCGTGTCATCATTACCCCGCGTGTAAATCGCATGTGTCATAATGTCATGAACCCGGGCAAGGTTGCTGTTATTACATTAAATTTAAAGCGCATGACTTATCGACATTGATCGTGGAAATAAATTGGCTTGTATAAATTATGTGCTTTTTCGCTATGGCGTTTCTAACTGTACCTTTGGGACTCGGCGCATTAGTTTGAATATAGCGTGCGTGAGGCGTGCTTGGAATACCTCAGGTCTGAGTACACCGAGGCTCCTTAGATTTGTTTTTATCAATCTTGTTGATACTGCCCTCTACTGCCGCGGCGGCTTCACCACCGGCACCGGCGACCGGAGAAGAAAATCCAAATTCCGTAAGAAGCTAAAGCCCAGGGCATACTTTTCCGATTTTACCGGTTAAGCAGATCACCCCATTACCGGTAGGCCTACGTTTTTTCAGCGTTGCCGTTACTGCAACGTTACCCGGACACATGCCAGATTCCGTTCTATAATCGGTCACATGATGATGATCAGTCACATGATGACCAGTCACATGATGACAAAATGGCAGCCGTCAATTTTGAATCTTGTGAAATCGGATGCGAAAAATCAAACATGATTGATTTTATCCGATCGCCCGGTGTAAGGTCAGATCAGTACGAGTTTTCAGCGCACACCTCTGTGCGATGGCCCGATTATCCGGTGAACCGGTAAAATCAGAAAGGTGTCCGCCGGGCTCTACCTCCACTTGTCAAAATATACGACGGGGAAACGAAGTGTTTTCGGGATAAAATCACCTAAACGTCCGGTAGCTATCGTTATTTGTTTGTTTAATCTTTAATTTTTGACTTTCCGTGAACTTGGCTAGGCCACGCGAGTTCACGGCCTCACGAGCTAATGGCGCAAGTCCCTTGGGAGTAATGAGCCTTGATTGGAATGAGAGCACCTGTCTCGTCTGACAACTCAAATGCCAGACGGGTGACGGTGTCTTGTCATGCTCGGTTTAAGCATGGCAGGGGTAAAGACAATAAGACATCTCGTGTGATTTATCAAACATTATACCCCACCGCTAATTTCTCTCGAAGTTAAAGGGTGCACGCGAGTGAGGCAGAATCAGTCTCGCCGAAAGTCAGGGACTGAAAACCCAATCCACATGGGTGGCCTGGGTAGGAGTTGAACCCGGGTCACAGCGATCAAACACAAGGAAAACATCACCTCAGCTCAACATCTCTTGATAGACTGAAAGAAGCTGGAAAGGTTCTTAGAAAGAAAAACCTGAACAAGAAAATTGCAGTAGCAAAGGATACACACGCTTAATACGGCTACCAGCACTAGCAAATCAGGGTTGCGCCGCGTATGTCATTATAACCTTGTTTTACACATTTCCGCATGTCCTCAAGACTTAAGCCTATCTCATTAAATCAGATGTTTGTATCTTGACGAGAGGCAAGAACTCATTTTGTTTCTATAGCAACAGAGCATCTGCTCCAATTATCCTGTAGATTCTCATCAACTTGTGTCGATAAATTGTTCCGTTTGCCATGGTAACGGAAGGCCAGCTCGTCATTAAAGGTTCTCAAACATGTCGTAATCAGGGGAGAGACCTCATTTTGCCCGGTACTTCAGATTTCATTACCTCTCCCTGTGGGGTGTCTTATAATGAGTGACTGTTTTCCTTGAACTAACAAACCTTTATCATTAACATATCATTATGCAACCATCCTATAGTTAAAAAGAAACACACATATTACTCATGAATTAATACAGAAGAACGATCAAAGAAACGTGTTTCAAGGGAAATGATTGGGGGGGGGGGCAAAAAGACAAGAATTAAAGAAAAATCATTTGAAGATGATACATAATACAAAGATGTTGTGTAATGAAACAAAATATGAAGTTCTCTTTCCTTCATTCCTATAATTCCAAACATACATTAAAAAAAAATATAAAAAAATAAAAACGACCAACATATTTTCGAAGGTCGTTTTGACTTGCCAGCGTTTTTCTTAAATGTTTGCGTAATATTCTTGTTGGCCTTTTTGGTAGAATTAAAAGGACGCACATTCCGTATGGAAAACTGCGGGTTAGGTGTGGGGCGCCCCCTTTGGATGCTGGTTTTCAGAGACGTGTCCGCTGCCGAAGATGTTGTTTATCTCGCCTTGAGCCTTACAGGGTTCGAATGCATATATCTTTGGGATAAATGTTGAATGAAAATAAGAGTAATATCATAGAAATTGCTCTAAATTGAGCACCGTCCTTAAGGTGTGGTGCCCCCTTCTTTTGATTCAGTTTTTGTGACGTATTGACTTTCGAAGATTTTTATCCCGCCTTAAGAATCGTCGGAGGTTTGGAGCTGAAGGATAAATACAAAATTGTGAACATTAAGCATTCATTAGAAGTTTATAATTGTTTGCTTTTCTTCAGGTTACGGCGATGTGGTTCCGGTGACCACTGAAGGGAAAGTATTCTGCGTGATCTACTCGGTGTTCGGCATCCCACTGACCATGCTGTACATGGGAGGGGTCGGTAGCTTCCTCGCCCAGCTCATCCTGACGCTCTGCAAGATCCTACACCTCGGACAGCCCATCAGGAAAGCCGTGTGTCCTTGCGGGTCACGGGGCACGAAGGACCAGTACGACACCGATGAAGACCAGCCGTCCAAGCGCAAGATGGGGCAGTCGAAGAGGAAGAGCGAGAAGGGTGACATGAGCGAGAAGGGTGACATGGACGGGTCGGCGGGGGAGATGTCGGTGGTGACGACCCAGCATGGAGTAGAGGCTGGTCAGGGGGGTTCAGCAGGCACTGAGGATGAGATGGAAGCCCCTGTGATCCTAGTGGTAGCCATCATCACAGGCTACATGTGCGCGGGGGCCTTCCTGATGCATGGTATCGAGGAGTGGTCTTACGGAGAGGCTCTCTACTTCACGTTCATCACCCTGACCACCATAGGGTTCGGAGATTATGTACCCATGATGCTGTACAAGGAAGATGCGTTCTTCGTTTGCATCGTCTACGCGTTGTTCGGACTGGCTGTCATGTCTATGTGCATCGCGCTGGTGCAGGCCAAGGTCCGAAGGCTTGGTAACAGGTTCTGGGATTGCATTGGGTGTTGAGGCGCAGGTACATGCACCAACAAGCTTTCAAAAGTTCCCTGAAAACGTATATGCACCGAATACCATAAAATATGAATATTTGATTGCTGTGTTGATAACACCCAGCAGGTGTTTAAACCACTTGTACAGTACTAGGGATGAGTTTGAGGAACAAAGAAACTGTATTATTGTTGCGACATGAGGGGGCCCAAATTATTGGGCACCAAATGGCGCATCGCGTGCTTGAGTATACATTTACACACAGAGATTGGACACAAAATGGCCAGGGCATCCCGCTAGTTTACTTACAAATTTGTGTGGCCGAAAGCCGTATATTATAACTGCAAAAAGAATGCACTATGTGCAGGTATGTTATGTGATCTTAAACATTTGATAAACTAACACGGCGCTAAAGCTTCTCCCGCTCAAATGTCATTTACTATTTATCTCAGAGTGTTCAGCTGTACTTTAATTATAAAATCAAAGCCAGTAAGATCTGTTCTTAAAAATAATAAAACTAGTGTGCTCTTTCTATTGTGTAAGTCTAGTTAGTAATTTTATACTCAACCGCTAGTGAATAACGGTAGCATGAAACAGCGCCCTCTTGCTATACCTGTTAGCGAATGGTAGACTTTTGAGACGTTGGCGGCAGCAAACACACCGGTCCTTTTCAATAATTGTTTAGGTCTTGTTTAAGCTAATGCGCGCATGTTCATAATGACGCAAACAATCGAAAAGGACCGGTGCTGTCACCAAGCGTCTCAAAAGTCTCCCATTGCACTTGTTTTTTTTTTTCGAAACCTTTGCTTCGGCTTTGCCTCCGACATCTGAATCACTGAGAGGCAAACTTAATAAAAATATTCCAACTTCTGGCTTCATATCAACCGACTGAATGTTCCTGAAGCTTGACAGGCACCAAAATGTAGTTGGAGTTCCAGAAGTTGGGGGCCTAAAATCGCCTTTAGCCGGAGACCAAGCCAAAACCAGTGTTTCGAAAACGAGTTTGAACATGTATGAATCCTGTGACGTGAACATAATATACGGTTGCTCATCTCTCGAATTAAAGCTATAGTCCATCATTTGCATGAACGTACGTCACCGGGCCTTGTTTGACTTCTGATCATGTGGTGCCTGCGATGTGTGCGATACTTATGCCGTACTTGTATAAAGCTTGTATGTGATTATGATATATGGGACAATAGTAGGACTACACCGCATATTCAAAAGCGTATCCACAAAGACGCATATAAAGTCACGAAGAGGTTATATCAAATGAATGAGTTTGAATTGTGATTACTGCCAGTAACAAAGACAGCGTTACCTGAAATACTGCAAAGTGTCGGTACTTTGTATTTAGACCATGAAGTGATTAAATAATTGAAATGTGACTAACTCACATTTCAAAATGTTTTGCTGGGCAAATAACTTTTTGTACAAACACGAAAGATGGTCAGTTCCTTCGCTGACCCACTGTACAAAACGGACCTTAACTGAAGTGGTTTTATTTCAATTCCAGTTCATTAGTTGTGTAGAATTCACACTTCTAAATACTTTTTTAATAAAATGCATATTGAACTCTTAAAAATATTAAATGGCTTTTTATGCAACATTGTGCAATTCAGTGTAAATGAATGGTGTGCGTTAAACTGTGAGATAAAAATTTGTCAACGCTTTATTTGCATGAAAGTACGAACCAAAAAGCAGCTTTTTATTTGATATTGTGCTGATTAAAAAAGAAGAAGAAGGAGTAACACGTTCAGAATGTTTCGCTTTGCGTGTATGGGTGAGTTTGTCTTACAGTCACTATGTGGACTTGTGAACAAAAAATGTCCACATAATGCAGGTTGTGTTGACGTTATGTGGACTAAGCCGTGTCCACATAACGTTTCGCCCTCTCTGGAAAAAAAACAGGTTTAGAGACATTGTTGGGTTAAGTTTGTGGCAAAATGAAGAGAAACACTAAAGGGAATAATAGAAAAAAATTAGGGTTGAAAAGTTTTGACAGTTTAAGTAAAGATATTGTTTGCACCGAGTTTCCTTAACTACACGAAAACAAAGGAATGTCCACATAGCGTATGTAAAACAAAGATGTCTGCGCGTACGTGTGCACGATGTGCCAGCTTTGCTGTCAGCGTAATCGAACAAGGCCACCGATATACGCAGTTTCTCTAAGCTTACTGCGCATAAATTCCGTTCAATTGGTCACTCAGGATAAATAATTCGACGCGTGTGCACTGAGTATACGTGAATGAATATCATGGCGGTAACCTACCCACAATGCATTGCGTTTCTTTTAGGAAATTGTGTGAAAGATATGAGCGTTCTCGTAACTATAGGTTCTTTGGATAAGGCGCTGCACGGCTTGAACCGTAGCTGGTTATTCTACGAAAGCGCCCTCTTGCGGCGTTTAGAAAGTGCATAGATAACAACGGCACCGTCTGGAGCGAAGACTACGGCCTCCTCTAATATAATGTGGGTGGCGTGACGAGGAAACATCTTGTCGCATTCGTTACCTGACGAGAATGCATTAGGAAAATCGAGTTCCGTCAACGAGTCGAGGAGAGCTAGCACGCTTCACATCGTCAACGATTCAGACGGGCGATCGCTACACAACTTTGTAACCAAATTAGCAGATCAAATGGATCATGTTTTATTTTTCCTGCATAGCTGGTAAGTAGCAACATTTTACTTTCTATCGGTTATTTTCGTCTTTATCATGCAAATAAATTTTGCGCTTGGAACAGGAAAGAAATGAAAAGGAATATTTCGTGAGTGTTTGATTCTAACCCGAATCTTGGCCTCGAGTCTTCATAAGTTGATGGACCCAATTATTAAGCAACTGCTTAGAAAAGTAAGTTTAAAGAAATGCATTTTTTAAAATAAATACGATAGGCCTATGTAACAGCTAGGAGTTTGGCAGAAAATTGGTTGTCAGATAATTTTCTGTTTTTACTGAGCAGTGAGACGAAAACCAAAACAATTGGTTTTAAACGTAATTAACAAAATGCAAAATATGAACCAAAACGTTCATTTTTCGTTTTTTTTTCATCGTTAATTTCAAGATATACAATAAAAACAATATCTCAATCAGTTCATCAATAAAACAATACATTTTTCCCTTTCTGGACACAGACACTTACCTTTTTGTTCCGATTTAAGAAAGGCGAGTGCAGAGTTTTAATCATTAGAATACTTTCTAATAAAATTGCGAACAAATTAAAGTGTTTTTTTGCCTGAAAAAAAGCTGCAAATGTGAACCATCTTAAACATGGTCTTATTAAATATCTAAGATGCGGTATATACATGTACATGTAATAACAAAGGATGCAGCTACACATTTATCTCCACATGTTGACCACGTGATGTAATGCAGAGCCAAGTTTCAACATCATATTTTTAAGAAATTAGTTATTAATAACTTAATTATAGTGATCAAAAATATTTCTCAGAAGATACCACAAAATCACATTTCTTAACTGGAGTATTCCTTTGATTACGTCCAATACAACTGAAGAATAGGTAATTATTCAGTGTATCCAATTTAATTCCTATTGGGAGGATAATAAATAACCAATCGATCATTCAAAGCCAACTAATTCTAGAAATGGTCTTAACCCGTCTTTTTGCAATGTTTAATTGAATGAATCGGACCCAATCGCGATGAGATCATACGTCAGATTATAACATGGTTCCCTTTAGGAAAATAGTAACTATACGAATTATTGGTCAAGTACATAGCAACCAAGGAATTTCGCTTGCCAACGAAGTGCATGTGCACGCGCAGAGGGCCTTATGGGCTGTGATTTATCGGTTGCCAATCGGCCTAGGAAGCGAAAATATGCTTTGGGTTGAAAATATGGTTTGTGTGATTTCTTTATGCTTACTGATGTTAGGATTATATCCGAGGAACAAGACATTTCAGGAATATTTCAGGCACAATATTGTTAACGTTGTTCAATCTCGGACAAACTTATTTTCGCCTGGTTTAGAAATGATAATCAAATTTATTTATGTTCTGGATTTTTTTAATTGAAAAATAATCACTCGTGTTTGAAATTGCTTTTCAAGTCGTTATTAAACCTAATGTGTTTTTCATCACAGAGCAAATTGAATTCCAAATTCAAATTTTAATCATTCATATTTGCTCCTATATGCAATAAGTTTCCTCATAATTTTTTATTTTTTTGAATTCAACGAAAAGACAGGTAGGGGCATTTACACGGGTGCGGAACAAATAACTCTCAATCCCCACCCCCACACAGTAATAAAATTATTCGCTATTAAATTATACAAAATTAAATTTAATCGCCAGTTCGACACGGACGAATTGTTGACGAAAATCGACCAGTTGGGGGAGGTTGCGGTCAATTCTAGTAAACAATTAACAATTTGCGATTGCAACGATCGTCATTCCGACCTTTAAGTTTAAGATTACCTTTGCTTGACTCGATCACAGAGCAGTAGTAATTCGATTAGGCAGTTCCGTACACGGTGGGAAAGAGTCAGGTGTGAGATTAGAACTAGTGGCTGGTCACAATGCCGTAGTTGTCAATCAATCAATTCCCTCGGCAGGTTGATCAAGTCAACCCGCTGATTGGACGATAGCGGAGACGACATGGACCGTTTCACGGGTACTTCCGTCCTTGTGATCACGTGGTATTTTTTTTGGGGGGGGTTATTGAAAATACGTCCCATCGTCCCATTGTATTCCGAGAATGATTGATTTTTTTTTCTCAATGCAATGCCCTCTGAGATGACCACGTAACCCACTAAGATGGCGGTATCCGGAAAATGTCTATGGAAGCCCGGGTCACTCGTTTTTATGACATGTTGCTTTCAGCTACGCTGTTCGCATAATGATGCTTACCCAGCCTTCTCAACTCGGGTGATCTGAGTTCGATTCCCACACCGCTCACAATGTGATTCGGCCATTCAATCTCTCCCTCCTCGGGAGTGGTACATCTTTTCTTCCTCAGGTAAATCTGATATATCGATCTGTTTCTCTTAAATGATTCATGTGTGTGGGACGGCAGTTCGCCTTAAAGAACTAAAATTTCAGGGAAAAATGTCTTGTCTCTTGAAGTTCGAAGCTTCGTAAAGTTCCGTCTTAAAATCACAAGCCTACTCACACAGCCTTAAATACGCAACTTGTTATGATTCCTCAGTTGGTATACTCAACACCTTGCATTTTTATTTCAATCCAAATTCCTGAAATTTCAGAGGATACATTAAAAAACCGACGACGCACGCAACTATGTGTATATGAGTACAAGTAAGTTAATAATACAAATAACTCTCGCTTCGTAATGCAAACAGCGATGCATTTTCTCTACCGAGTTATCTACGTGGATAGTCCACCGTTTGAAAGCCACACTCAACTCGTTGCCTGGCAATCTCAAATGGATCCCAGCAAAAACACTCACCCTCTGAAAAATAAAAACACAATCTCTGACGTCACGGGTCCAAAGATTGAAAGGAAAAACTGACTGTTAGAATGTGTCAAAATAAGACTCGGAGTGGTCTGACATTACACAGTGGAATCTAGATAAAACATGTACTGCTCTTTGGCGGTTTGTGATCGAATTGCCTCGCTTGATTTTTCTCTAAACAAAGCTAAGATGTAATGTTGTTTATTTTATCTCCCGTAAGGGTGATGGAACAAAGGGAAATACAAATTACTGTTGCTGTGGCAGCAACCAATGAACATCAAGAATTTACCTTTGCTGGGGGAAGTTACATACGAACGCTTTGCTGATTTTAGTTTGGCTTAGTGATTTAGGTTCGAGACTTGCGATAACAGGGTCAGAGGATCGAATCTAGCCGGTGACATACACAAATGTGACAAACATGTCCGTCCCCATTACGCTCCTCTATGGAAGATTTGAAATGGGTCTACCCGATGTTTCCCAATACATTGTACCTATGTTCCCCAAAATCCTTAGGGTTAGGGCTGGGGAGCATAGGTATTGGGGAACACAGGTAATTGTATTGGAGAACATAGGTATGCACCCATTTGAAAAAAGGGCTACATGCAGATCTGAAAACTAGGAATGCCTCTCATTCTTTGCTTTGATCTTTTGGTCGTTGTTATCTCTTCATGAACCTGAATTCGCATTGATATTTTAGCTATTTGGGATGTGAGAGGTCGAATTTTTTTTCTCAAAATGAAAGACCCTTACACAATATCACGTTTCATGACCAAATTAGTTTTTCACTGGTTTTGAATTAATATTGAAAATCAACATAAATAGAATTATTTTTTATATCTAGAGGCTTTTAAAATTTGGTAATTGAGATTTGGGTCGAGGATCAAAGCTGTGTTGTAGTTTCTTGTTTCTCTCTTCGAAACCATCTCCTTTAAAAATTAAGATGTTGTTGCATAATGTCCGAATCTAGTCTTGATATACATTTCTTGAAATTTTATTGGTCGCTGTCACAATTCCCCTATAGTCAGTTATACGCAGAAATATTTTGTGCTGTGCCGAATTCAATATGCGGACGGAAATGCCAAAGCTCTGTTTTCGCTACCGTCGTGCCGAATTCCAAAGGAAAAAGAAAAAAAACCTAATTGAGGTCGGTCAGGCAGTAGCACGACATTACGGCTAGAATTGCTCGCTCTAATTTGGTCAGGACAACACGGAGCCAAACTAGAAGTGGTTTCTTCCTCGATTAAAATTGATTTTTTTTCTCTTTACCGTGGCCGAGCTATGCCGTGCTGCGCTTCAAGGTCCGCCGACGACAATAAGTGTTGGGCAAAGCAATCGAAATGACGACCAAACGACTCCTGTTTATTGACGGAATAGGTTGAATTTTAATTGAAAAGCGAAGGGAGGATGTATCCCGACGACGCCCGAATTTGAGAAATATTCCTCGATCAAGATCGTTTGCAGGAACGGCTAAGTGGTGCACTCAAGTCAAAATAACAACATTTGGATTAGGCATATTCTATATGCATGCATATAAAATATCTGTATTTGTATTTTCTATATAAATATATATTCGTTTCCGATTTTTCACGTTCAACCGACACCGTCCGTCCATATAAAACGCAAGCGCTAGGTAGGCCTAAACTAAGGGTCAACTACATTACTTACCAGGTTAACCTAGATCTGTTCAAGTTATTTAACCGACAATTATTATATTAACCATTGCTTCAGGTCGTTTAACCAATGATAAACCGGCAGGTACTAACTATCAGTCGAATTAAGAAAGTTGGTCCCGTCTTCTCATGCAGCGCGCATGCGTAAATGCAAGTACAAGTCCGTCACGGGGACAAACCCAACACGAAAAGACGAACTACATGTACAGTGTACTATCAATTTTGAATCATTAATTTAAAGGACAAAACCCAATATTTAAATCCCAATCAATGTTATTAGAACCTTCCGACACAAAACATTCAGCATCTACAAAAGCAGTAAATTATTTCTTCCACTGCATCACTTTAAATTACTCATTTAAATTCATTAATGGGAAAAATATCCAAGGCTGTCGTGAAGAATTTGAAGCATTGGGCAAGTGGATCATTGATTGATAAATAATCTCCACTGATCACAAACATCCCAATTCCGCAGTCGTTCGCGCTCAGACGAGAATTGTTGAACTTCTGGCTCTCAAGTGCACCGTAGGGTGACACTTCAATCCCATTTATCACGGAAAAGTCAACACCGGCTGGAAATCCATCTTCGGAATCCAACTCATACTGTCACTGTCAAACGTCTTGGTGAAAAGTGCTTCAGGACGAGTGGGGGGCTTTTAGTTGCTGAGTTGAAGAACTTAAAAGCCAAGACAATCGGATATGTATCAGGTATCCAAGAGGCTTGTTGGAAGCCTGAAGTGGACACAGGGTTAAGAATTTACGGGGAAAAAAAACAAGTGAGGAAATTAAGACTTGTATAAGTACCTACGGGAACTAGACTGATTTCTTGTTTGTCTAACAGCAACACTGGAACCATAAGGACTGGTACCATTACCAAGCAGAGACTTGCATGTGGTAATCTCTAACAACAGAACCTAAAGACTGTTACTGAATGATTTCAACACATCAGGACTTGACTGACACACTCTTTTAAACAAATTTGGCAAATTTAAGGCATTCCTAATTTTCGTTTATTGTACCAGAAAGTACAATTAGTTTCTTTGATCTTCATCTTTTTAGAACTAGACGCCTAGAGTCAAACAATGGGTACATCGTACGTCGTTGAAAATGCAACCAACAAGACATTCTTTACGTTCTTCTCGGAATTCAACAAGGCCTGGACGGAGAGCTACATCCTTGTCAACGTCATCTTAGGATTCCTCTTCCTCATGTCGCTAGGAGGCAACATCCTAGTCATTTACTTCTTCATCTGTTTCAAGGCCATCCGACAAGTCACCAATCTCTTCATTACTAACCTGGCCGTGTCTAACCTCATCTTCTCCATCATGGTTCCCTTGGTGATGACGACCCGAGTGACCGAAGAATGGGTGCTTGGGGAGGCCTTGTGCCACTTGATGACCTCCATTGAGTTCTTCAGTGGCATGGTCTGTGCATGGACCATGGTGCTCATCAGTGCGGATCGCTACCGGGCTATCATCAAGCACCAGGGTCGAAGATCCACCATCAATGGAACCCTAGTCCGTCTGGCGCTGGTCTGGATTGGGGCGTTGCTCTTCACGAGCCCCTTGGCAGTGTTCTTCAGGACAATCGAGGCGACCATTGAGGATGGATCCAAGAGCGTCCTGCGGAGAGTGACGGTTTGCTCAGTGGATTTCCCCGGACCAAACTACATCCTGGTGATCTACTCCTGCATCAACATCCTGGTGGTGTTCATCATCCCGTTGACTATCATCACCAAGAACTACCGGGCCATCATGAAGGAGTTCTCCTCCAGTTTACAGAGGATGCGGGACCACATGGAGTCTGCTCCCAGATCTCGTAACAGCTCAGTGAGAGTCGCAGCCAACGTCCAGAAGGAAGCCCACGTCTTGAGGATGCTGATTGCCATGGTGGCTCTCTTTGTGCTCATGTGGGGGCCTGTGACCGTCTTCATTGTAGCCATGACCGCGGACAACATGCATACTAACATCATACAATCGTACCAACTGATGACCGTGTTTATTATCACTTATGCCAATGCTGCCCTCAACCCTGTCGTGTACGGTGTTCTGAACGAGCAGTACCGGAACCACTTCCGGCAACTGTTCAACAAGATACGGTGCAAGGCGTGCGGCACCGCGGCGACAGAGAACGCGAGCACTGGGGGAAGGAACAGCATACGGCAGGTCATACGTACACTCAGTGGCAGGGAGGTGGATAACACAAGACATATGAACGGAGACGGCTGCTGTGAGAATGTCATGGACAATATCTGCGAAGAAACACCTTCTTAAACTTTAAGAAATGTATCCTTTAAAAATCTAAAGTTAAAATGTGATACAAGCATTTTTATCCGTACAGCAGTAAATGTTGTTTCATATTCCACAAAATAAACATTAAAAAACAAACCAAAATCAATGTGGCATTTTCAGTATTTTTATTTAAGCGCTTTTTCAAAATTGAACAAATACTTTTTGAATGGTCATTGATGAAACAGGTCAGTGTCCACATGGCCATAATATGTATTTTATTAAAACTGATTTTGTCACAAGAGCAGAAACAATACAAACAACATGCTTCAAAGGCTCTAGTTTGCTGATACAGTTTTCCTTTTTTTCTAACAAAGTTACACATAACCAGTTGTTCCATTCTCAGATCTGATATGGACCACACTGAATGCACAATTATTTTACATGATTAACTTAAGGAAGAAGTTTGGAAAATAAAAGGAGGGACACACCTGAAGAACTTTACTTTATTTTTAACAAACACTTGGTTTACAATTTATAAAGAGAACACTTTTGTATACTTAGTATACTGTGTACTTCTGTTGATTTATATCACCAACTACACGTAAGTAATATTGAAATGTTCAAGCTTATTATATAATAGAATTTACGGTGTAAACAAGGAGCATTTTTATGAACTATTGATTTCCAACTACTGACAACTTTTACTGTTCTTGGAACATATAGGCAACAATACAATAGGCTTATTTCTCTGGTGGACATTTCACATGCTGCCAAAATAAATATTGTTAAATATATATGTGTTTTGCATAAATAGTAGCTATTAAAATGGCGAAAAAACTTGAAAAATGGTTGCTTCATACTCTACAGACATGTGAATACAAAGCAAAATTGACGTCAGGAAACATTGAATGCAAAATTCACCAGAGATAAAATGTGTTCAATTTATGCGAATTTGTAGCACGAAAAGTTGCCATGATGTCACACATGCATGTTTGCATTCACCTTCGCCTTAAGTATGCGCTACCCTTTATGCAACATTTTATGGAAACAAAAATGTATAAAATTGATTTTGTCGGAAGCATAATGTTGCTAAGATTCTGATATTTCATATTTTAGTCTGTATCTATAAATAAGACACAGAACAAAATTTCAACTAGGAGACTGTAAAGTAACAAAGTCTTACACAAAACTTAGTTATTTATATGACTATCTTCACTTTCAACTATCAACTTTTCTTATGAATATTGTTTATCTTGCAGATTCTTTAATGAGACTTGTAATTGTATGACACTGTCTGTTTATGCAACTGCATGATGCTAACGCCACTAATTTCAGCAGGAAAAACATTTCATGTTTAATTTTTCATTTTGTTTTTAATGGACTTCAAATTTCTTTTTAAGAATGTCCATTTGGAGGCTCAAATTTACAAGCGACTATGTGTATATAATCACACATATTCTACTACACTAATTATATCTACAGGGTGAGTAAAACAAACGAAACTCAGATGTGGGGACCATTGTTGAACTGAAGTTCTGAATGTAGCACTTTCAAAATCCAGGATATGAAAGCTCAATTCATAAGCTTTCTTTTAGTACAAGAATCATTCTAATCACTCATGTACTTTTCAAGTTACGGACTTTTAAACACAAGCACTGTTTTAAAGTTCTGTCCCGACATTTGGGTTTCGTGTTTTTTTTACTCACCCTGTATAAACTGTCAAAACTTCCTTTGTAAAATCTAACTGATTTCCCTACGCCCTGACACCACAAAAGGCAAGAATACCAACTCAAAATATTTTTATTGTTAAACATCCCACGTCACCAGACCGATTTTTTTGTGTGGTATAGGTACATAATTCCAATGTGCGGGTAAAATCCAAATAAAAAAACAAAAGGTGCACACTAATCATGGTGAACCAGTTAGTACGTACATAAAAAACAAAACCCAGAAATAAATACCTCAAGGATTTTTCTTCTGGAAAGTGATGAAGAAAGTCTTGATTTCTTGGGCATGCAGAGTGATGCTGGTTGGTGACTTGCTCCAAGTGGGCGCTGTATTTTAAATAAAAAACACCAATCATGGCTGTGATTGGTCAAAATACTATCTTGGTGGGGCTTAAGGGATTGGTCAATTGAGAAATGGCTTACCTGATCCGGTTGCAGAGGACTTTTGGCCAGTTTTGGGGCCCCCTTTGACCTTCCAAGTCCAGCGTTTGACCTTATCAGCCGGCCAAATGGCTGTTAGACTGCGTTCACTGACATTGGCTACAGTGCCAAATGGAAACAGATATTTCTACAGAAATTAAAAACAAAGTTAAGAAAAATGGGTTTAAAATGAGGATTGTGATGGAAAACATCATGTAAGTTGTACCTGTCATTTGGATCTGATGAATGTGAAAAAAAGATTAATTGATGTCGTAACAAAATGTCTGCATGCAAGTGACCGACCCGCTAGCCCGGTAAAACTAATCAATAAATCTCTTGACATGATAAATTAGGTTGAGAAAAAAAATCACAAATGTGAGTTGCTCAGTGATTGAGTACTTTGGTAATATGAAAATAACTATTGAAGTGATTGATTGAACAATTCAACATATAAATAGTTAAGTAAAAGGGTTGTAATTTTGGTTGTAATCTAATACACAACAAATTGAATGTTGTGTTTTGAAGCAAGGGAGATGTAGTTGTATTTTGATCAAACTTTGTGTCAGCTGATAATTTTAATTATGGTTTTTCTTTCACACACATTATGTAACAAAGCACTCTTTAAATTCAGTATTTTTTTAAGCTAGGACTTGGAGCCAAGACCTCCTGTTTTAGGGAAGGACATCCGGGAAGACGGATTGCAAGAGATGGAATTATGTTGTAAATATACATTTTTGACCAAGGGGACCAAATATTTTTAGTAAGTTGATGTCAATTACTTAAAACAAGATATGAAACGAGTAGAAAATCAATCTCTTTATCATCATCAGGAAAATGCATAAATAAAAAGTTACCTCATTTGCTATTTAAACTGTTCATTTAGAAATGCAGTTCTTGTGAAGTTATAAAGACAACATGCACTAGGAATGGTCACAACACAATCACAAGTCAATCACAAGTCAACCACAAACCCATCACAAGTCAATCACAAGTTAACCACAAGTCAATCATACGTCAATCACAACCAAATCACAAGTCAATCATACGTCAATCACAAGTCAATCACCAGTCAATCACAAGTCAACCTTTCAGTCAAAAAATCTAAACAATTAAAAACTGAACAATTTCCCAACGATTTTGTTCATCAATTTTACCTCGTGTTTTGCGGAACACCTCTTGCCATTTCTATGGTATGTGCCTCGCTCATGTAGTGCTAAAAATCTCCTTTTATGGAGATTGGTGCATGCACAGTGCGTACTGCATGATGTGGCGCAGAACACAGCGGTGCAGGAATTAAGTGTTTGCAACCAGTTTCAGCGATTTTAAAATCACCCATGTGACGGGCTCTCGACCAAAAGGAATGGGAAAACTGTCTTAAGTATTTATGAATGTAGAATAATAAATACAAAAGTCTACAAGTAATGTTTTTATCACACTGGTTTTTGCCATTCAGTACAGATTTTATTTTCGGTAAAGTTTGCATGCGCTCTCAGTAAGGATGCCATTGATACTTACTGCAAGGTCAATAGTCACCGGCTGGGAGAGACTCTTGTGTTCTCCAACCTCGTACAGATGCTGGAGACGAAGCAGAATGCGATCTAGATTGGGGGTTTCCCCACTTCCATCATACCGTCCCTGTCGCACTGAGAAACAAAAAGCACCATAGCAAAATGAAATACTGTATACAGCGAACAAAATTACCAACAATAAAATGTTTAACAAAAAATCACCTCGTGTCAGTCTCTAAGATGATACAGTACAGTCACACACAAAAATGAAGAAATTGCAAGCAGCCTGAGACTTCAGTAATATTTATAAAAAAATTATGGCACACATTGGAAGTTAAAAATGAGGAAATCAGCTGATCTGAGGAAAAGGTGCATTACCTGATGAAAAAGGGAACAGAAAATCAAAACCAGTTCTGATTTTTCGATGTTACTGTGTATTTTACTCAACCCTTTGCAAGCTGTGTAAACATGCAGTTACTTTTAGATACTCAGGCATTCGTTTATCAGGCTGCTAGGGGCGGAAAACCTCCCCTTTCCAATTTTGTCACATTTTACCGGAAGCGCTGATCAAGAAAACAAAAAAGCCCCTAAATCCTGTACTGCTTTACATGACAAGTCAACAGTGTCATACACCCATGTGTTTGTACAGGCGATTGTTTGAACATATGCCTCGTAATGACGCCCCGGCACATAAACAAGCTTTGCATCGGGTGATCCGGTAACCATGGAATGCGATCCTCGTGGAAAGTGAGCCCTCTGCAGTTCTGGCTTAGTTACGGTGGAATGCCTACAAATGGACTTTGGCTTGATAAGGATACAACCTAGAGCAAAGCATCAAGTACTTAGGGTAATTATAGTTGGGTCAAGTATTTGAAAAAGGGGGAAAAAAATTAAAATGTACTGCGGTTAACAACAAGCTCATTTCACGGAAATACCATTCAGAGATTTCAATGGGTGTGGTTGTTTTTACGGTTTCAGTAAGTTGTAGTGTGAGTCATCGGTTTTGAAGATAAGTGTTTATAGATTTTTACTTTAATCAATTCCTCCAAAATCTGAAAATATTTAACTCCTGTTTTGCTTGAAAAATAAAAATCTTACGTCTTGCTCGCAGCTTCTTCTCGTGCTCCTTGTGAGACGTGTTGTAAGTCCAGCCAGGAGTCTTCAGGGTCAGAAGGTGGACGTTGTGGGGAAGGTCCTTGAAGACTGTCGACAAGGGGTTGGGGAGATACTTCTCCTTCCATTGACGCAGAAACTCAGCGGACTTCGGGATATTCCCTGGAAAAAAAAAACAGAACACAGGTTGAAAACACAGAATGAAAATCCACAAAAGTGAATTTGGGTAGCAGGGTTTACATATTCACAGTACTGACTTATTTACATATTCTCCCCCCCCCAAAAAAAAGCCAACCTCAAGTAATCTTTTCCTCTCCATATCCAAAAACCAGAAAACTGAAAAATTTACTTAATCCTAACTTGCTAATCCATCTCCCCAATCCTGTCAGACTCAAATAGTTATTGTCTTTCTCCAAAAATAATCAAGTACCCCTACCGACTTCCATAATACCATTATAATAAAAATATCTGCTGAGATCCAAGTGAAATGTTTGGAGCATCTACAAACACCAAAAGGGTCTTGAATTCCGCCTAAAAATAAAAGGCATTATGAAAACCCCACCATCAAGGTGTATCAACCAAAACAAACTAGTATAGAAGTAAAAGAAATACCTGATTTGTCACCCTTCCACTTCTTTGCCCACGCCCCCATGCTCTGATTGACGGCCATAATGATTGGTGGATTCTCGAGCTGTAGCCAGGCACGACGCTGCAACTCACTGGAGTGTGTGCCGTTGCCAAGCAACAGCCAGAGGGTTGGCATGACGACATCCGGCTCTTCCAACGTCAGGTTGTTTTTGTCCGCGTAGCCAGAGTTGGTGATAAGTCGACGCAGTAGCATCACCTGATTTTGCGGATAAGCCGACGAGAATCTCAGAATCAATCAATCACAATCAATGAATATCAAATTAAAGCAAGCAGACTTCAATATCAATCCAAATGTGGTATTTCAATTATATTGGAAAGGATTAAAAGGAATGTGTACATCATTGGCTTTTGCTGTAATTTTCAGAAATGAACTATTTGAGGGGTTAGTATAATAGATAAAATATTGTTACACTGACATGTTTGATGTTTTGTGTTCGAAAATGCTGGAAAAACCAAATAAACCAAAAATGTTTAAGTAGTCTGTTTCCCTGACTCCACTAAAGAAAAAATGGATCCATTTATAGATGCCGGAAAATTGTAAGGTAAAGGAACCAGTCTAGCTGGCCTGCACCTGTTCATGAACATGTAACCAATAGCTCACAAAATTTGGACTGAAAAAAATGGTAAATTTTGAGCAGTAGTTGCTAAATAGTTAGGTTTTTCCACCGGTGGTCGACCGACCACCGTTGGAAATGTTAACAAAAATACCGTTTTCTTGAAAATGACTTCACACCAGGTGCCATAATTTTACAGGATGCTTTAGACTGTCATTTACCAACATCCTAGTACGGTATTTCGTAAAAACTTGGTAGTTTTATTTTTCGATGTTTGCAAATGTTGTATAGTCCCTTTAAGTATGCATCCAACGCAAAATCATTTTTTTGTTTGTACACAAGCAAGTAGCATTATTTACACAACCATATGCCGACGTACTTTCCTGCGATGGAATTATAGAATTCCTCAATCGAATGCAAAATGTGAATCATCTGGATAGCTGAAAATATTTCATGGCTTTTGAAAGTAATCTAATGTTTTGTGTGTCTGTCTGTATTAAACAAAAACTATAATTTCTAATTTTGCAAAAAAGGTGCAAAAACTGACCGAAGACTCTTTATAATTCAAAAGACACTCAAGCAAACGGTAAGCATCTTTTACGTTAAGGACTGTAAACCAATCAAAATGCCAATTGGCTCATGAATATGCATCAACAGAATCAATAGACACACACTTACCTCCATTTGTCCGTTGTTCAAGCTGCCTACCCCATGGCTCCTCTCGGCCATGACTGTAAGGCGGGTATCCTTTGTTGGTGACTCAATATAAGCTGTGCTGACCAGGGGGTAGTAGTTCTGGGGGTGAGAACAATGGAAAATTTTAGGGAAATCAACCCAAAATGGCAAAGTTTAGCAACATGAACCCTAACCCTGCCAGAACCTTTGAAATCTACTATCACCACCTGTACTACAATGTATTACATTGTGTTTATTCACTAAGGAATCTTTAAAATCATAGAGGGCTCGGGCCAGCTCAGTTGGTCTTGGGTGGTTTCAGACGCTACAGGTCGTAAAAGCAGAGAGGCTTGTGAAGCCCTAGTCAAAGTGTTTGTCGATAGTGTCGCTGACTAACGTTAACACTAACGGTGCGCTATGCATAAATTCACTGTACGTGCAAAGCACGAGCAGTGACCTTACCTAGCTACAAAATATGCAAATCAGTTGGGGAAGACAAATGCCTTGGGACAATGAATCGTACTGGCTTAGGTTTTCTTAATTTTGTCGCTGGATTTTCCGCGATGACCTCCTATGCATACAGATGAGACTCTAATTCACTACTTGGACCCAGATGCCCATATTTTTACACGGATAGACAGCTGGATAGTGTCGCTACATTCTCCAACAAGTTTGGAGTCGGCCGACCAAATATAACTGAATATAAAGCCAGCGACAAAAGAGAAAGAAAGATAGGCAGACGCTATCCGTTGTCCCAAGACGTTTTTTCTACCCCGATTTGATTCAAGCTACGCACATGTTAACATTTGGGGCCAGATACCATAACAGACTCTACCATCGTCAAACACTTTGATGAAGGCTAGCGGTGCCACAAATGTTGCAATATCAAGGACTGTACGGTGACTAGTGGGCAGTAATTCTACAGGTCGAGAACGATGCCAAATATTGGAGGCATCCTTCAAGATGCACCAGGAGAATTGAGAGGATTCCTGTACACTGGAGGACTCTTCAGGAATTCTACAGGTCGAGAACGTTGCCAAATATTGGAGGCATCCTTCAAGATGCACCAGGAGAATTGAAAGGATTCCTGTATATTGGAGGACTCTTGGGGAATTCAGGAAATTCAAAGAAATCTTGAGAAAGTTACCATTATCGAAACTGGACGCTCTACAGATGGATGCTCTACAGATTAAAATCGCTGCTCATGCAGGATCTAAAGAATGTTTGTCTCAAGCCTTTTTTTTTATTGAGGAGGCAGACTTACTTGGGCTTCAGGCTGTGGCTTGTTGGGCCTCCAAGTACGTTTCATGGTCTGGAAGCCATTGTCGTTGGTGTACAGAACTCTGGAATTGTTCAGGTTAGTTGAAAACCTGCGATGAAAAACGAGGGGAAAAATTAATTGGATATCATATTTTGTTAGGCCTCCATGTACGTCTCATCGTCTGGAAGCCGTTATCGTTGGTATAGAGAACTCTGGAATTGTTTAGGTTAGTTGAAAACCTGCAATGAAAAATGGGGGGGGGAAGGAAATAAATTTGATATCATTTTTGTTGTTATCAATATTTGTTTGGAAACAAAATTCATAGTGTACCTCAAAGTTTTCAAGTAAGTTGAAACCTACAATGAAACATGGAGAGAAAATAACCAATGAATATCATTTAAAACATTTTTTTCTCAAAATCCTCCCCACCCCCCCCCCCCCCCCCCAATAACCCCAAGACTACATTACTATTAAAACAAATAGTATTCTGGCTCCAATAAAAGTAGAAGATTTGTTTTGGAATGTTTGTCTTTAAGCAGTAGGATTTTATGAACGTTCAGTCATTCATTTAAGTTTAACTCTAGTTGCAGACAGCAGCTGTTGAGCCGGCATGGAGAGTCAGTCCAATGCCGATCATAAAAGAACCTTCAGTATTCCCTCCTGAAAACATTGACATGTACAAATGTATACAATCCTGAAAACTCTCAGAATCCACGATATGGATTTCAACCACGGGCATGCAATCAATCTGACCTGTAGACTAGCTCCTTGTTGGGTGTTAGTGGCCCAACTTTGAAGTCCAGCTCAATGTGACCACAGACGATGTCATCGTTGTGGCTGTGGGGCAGGTCGAAGATTCGTAGGGTGACCATATAGCGACTGCTCTTGGGATCGTACATACTGCTGAGCCAAAACCAAAACAATTATCGTTGTAGGGTTAAAACAAAAAGTTCAAATTGTAATAGAAAACTGTTGATTGGAAATCAATTTGAACTAACAAAACAAAAGTAACAAACTCTCACTTGAATATGGACTGCCTGGTTTCGTTCACATATGGTCCAGTGACAATATCCAGCTTTGCTGAATCTCCAGCGTTTTGTGGACCATTACTCCAAGGTCTGAACACGTACAAGTTGGAAGTCTGCCCATACAGGACGTTGTGATGGGAGTTATATTCCATGAAGATCTGCTCCATCGATACAGTCTTGTTAGTTTGCCTGTAAGACAAGGAATGGCATACGGTTGATTTGATGTGTATAGCGCCACCTTTTGTTGTATACGACTGGCAGGCAATAAAAGCACAAGTCCGTTTTGTGTTCACCAGTGTGGTAGATAAAGCAAAGCCAGCTATTAACTTGTATGTGAAATTCAGATTTGCACTCAAAAACTTTGCTAACGCATTTAAAATGCAGTGGATATGTTTTGCTACTTCAATCAAGTTTTGACAATTACGCAATGTTCCACAACAACTTCAGGTATGTTACATATTATGTGCAACTGATACAGTTCTTGCAAAAATACCATTGAAAGATAAAGTCAATAGATATGTTCACATCAAAGAAGTAAAACAGAACATAAGGCCAAAAAAAAAAACTCTCCGGTTTCTGGTATGGAGCTTGCCCCAAAAGTGGTGCGGCGACTCGGCTTTTTTTTACCTGTTTTTTTTTTTTTTTTGGCTTCAAATGTCGGCTGATGACTGCAAATGGTGCCCGACTAAACTTAGTGCAAATATATGGGAGTCAAGAGAGGCCACATAAAGCTTATTCTCGATCATAACCCCATCTTAAAACACGTTAAAATTGTGCAGCAGCAGAATTCCAGTCAAACCAGTGAGTTTGGCGGTTTTGAAACATCATCTTGTATTGAAAAAAAAACTTTTTCATTTTGCCGACGCGCATGGCTACGGCGACGCGCGCGCATACCAGAAACCGGAGACTTTTTTTTTTTTGCCTAAGCGAGCCGTATAAAAAAGGTGAAAACCTGCGAATTATGCAACCCACTTTAAGGGATTTCAATATGTGTTCATGCAAAAGAAGTTTTGCTAAGGACTGATCAATAAGAATTAAATCCGAAAAAAGTGGTAAAAAATCTTACTTGTCAAGGATGCTCATCAGCATGTTTGTGGTGGTATTGTACGCCACCTCAAAACAATCGTTACTAATGCTCTTAACGTCTGTGTCCTTCAACTTGCGTTTTTTGTCCTGTGAGGGCGTTCTGCTCCTGACAACAGTGCCTAGGCTTTCCAGTTTCCCTTGCGGGGATGTGGCGTCCTCTGGTTGGATCTTGTTCTTGATGTAGTACACATCAAAGTTCAGCGGGGCAAGTTGGGCGTAGAAGAAGAGATGGTAGGGTCCGCCGGGCTCTAGAGGAGGGTTGACCTGAATGAGAGAAAGGATAAAGAATATCAACAAAAATGAATAAAAATGGAAATATTTATGGCGGACACAATAAAAACAAGAACAGGGGCAGATTTTATGGTTCTGCACTGTGAGCAGTAAGCACAGCAAATTCCAAGCTTATCATCATCGATGGGGAGTGTGACCTAGTGGTTAGGGTTTGTGACTCATGATCAGAGGGTCAGGGGTTCGATTCTAGCTGCTGGCCATATGTTGTGTCCTTGGGCAAGCCACTTCACCCCCACTTGCCTCTCTCCACCCAGGAGTATGGATAAGTAACAGCTTTAGCTGGGGAGTAACTTGCGATGGACTGGCATCCCATCCAGAGGGAATAGATATATTCTCGGTCGTTTCTCAGCACCTCATTATTTTGTGACATTCCTTTACCTGGCTGCCTATGTCCCTGCCATGGATATCGATGACTGTGACGTTAGGGTCCGTGATGCTCATCTGAACCAGTCTTTTGACGGACCAGCCCAGCGAGTTGTAGACCAGGATCGGAGTCAGAGGCTTGTCACGGCTGACATCTGAAACATTGGAATCAAAATCAAAACAAACCCTGCTCTGACAAAAGAAAACTCTCAAAATTTTAAAGAGTGAAATTTCAACCAATCAACCATGAACTGAAGGTAGGGAACAGAGGATAGTGATAGATTGAAAAGTTACGCTACTGTTAGACTGATATTTCTGGAGTGGAACACGATCTATGTGAACGAATAAATTTCACACTAGACAATTTGTCCCTAACTTCAGTTTTCAGGATTCTGATGGACTTGTCCCAGTTCCTAGTAAAAGACGTGAGGGAGTTAGGGTTAAAGAAGTGATAATTTAGACTTTTTTTAAAAGAATTATTTGGACCGACAAAATGGTAAAAAATAGTTGTTAATGTGTACGTTCTCTGTACCACTTATTGTTCCAGTTTTTGATTGCTTGAACTGTATCACAAGTTACATTTTTTGAGGGTCGGGCTAGCAGTTGTGAACATTAATGTTGAAATGTGTCCAACCATGCTCACCTAAGATGTGTCCACGACCAACAGAAGTAAAGACGTCTTTTTTCTCTCCCTCCTGGCTGTTGTTATGGAAGTCTTGTAACATTTCCTTCATGGAGGCAAGGGTCATGTTCTCAGCAGTCTCTAGATGGTCTTCGTACATGGCCTTCACTTTGACGCTATCAGTGCCTGTGATTCCGTCGTGATGCTGAACCTAACGAGCACATTAAAGTGTGAATTTTTTTTTAGAGGACGCAGTTCTTTGGAACAGCATGCTGACTTGATCTGTATCAGGTCTTTTATAAGTCCAAATTCCCCATGAAGTTTCAAAAATGATATACCACAAAAAAATACCTTTTATATGTATTGTGTAGTTCTATTTTGAGCCGAGTGTCAACTGAATTTTGAATAATGAAAGGAATAAAATTCCCTCCCTCCTAAAACTAACGTTTTGGAGGTAAATAAAAGGACTAAAGGTTTGCGTTCCAATGTCAATTCCCCCCCCCCCCCATAATTCTCTGACCTCTCTGTGCTCTTGTGAAGCACTCCTATATCACGTCCATTCATAATTCACTCAATTGCGAATGCAAAGTGAATATGATGTCACAAAACGTTCGCTGCTGAATTCTTCAGAGTTGAACTGTGCCCAACTGTCGCGAATTTGCAGCGTGAAAACTTGCCAAGACGTCACAAACCCGCATTGGCCGTTCGCTTTTGCGCTGAGCATGAACCAGCCTTTCATCCACTAAAGACCAACCTCTGCAGACGCCCAGCGCAGTGCCTGAAGACTCCCCAGTACTTCGGTGGTGTTGGCGGTGCGGTTGAGATTGGGCTGGTTGAGATACACACTAAAGAGGGTCTCCGCTGCGTGAAGGGTGGACTGGGACCGGCGAGCGATATCCTTCAGACCGCTACGGGAGGTGTAGAACCCCGTCCATGCTGCATCGGCATCTTCAATTGAAATTAACAAATGAAAAACTGACTTTAAAGACCTAAATGTCAAATTGCATCAGAAAACAAGCTTGTACTCATGTACTGAGAGACATCCTTTAAGTTTTAATCCTCGCTTTTTTCTTATTGAGATGCATTTCTGTCAACGGTGACTTTGATAAATAGGACACTTTTCATTTGGTGTCTTATGAGAGGCAGTAACTTTATCAATGCTAACAACAGTATAGACGAATCCGGACACTGTCCGCTCAAGGGGCCCCCTTTAATGGCGACAGCTGAACAGTAGCTAGCACAATGATTTCGCCATTAAAGGGGGCCTCCGTGACAAAACTGGCAGTGTGCCTGGATGGGTCTATAGAAACAAACAAAAAAGTTGATGTCAAGAACTCCTTGCCTGACGAATATGAGAGAAAGTCTCCATCCTGCTTTAGTGCCCAGCTGTGGCTAGTGTTATGGACAGCTGTGAAGTAGTCCCCCAATGTAGCATACTGGACGTGCACTCCTAGATCCGTAGAGTGTTGATTGATATAGGCCACTAGTTTGTCCATATTCAGGAACTGGATGGTTGCATTGAAGAACTGTTTGTCGCAGCCCTGGGTCACGGAAGGAGAAAACAACCGATTTAAAATACAGCCTTGTTTGAAATGTGGTCATCTTGTTATTTACTCTGTACTTCAAAGAGAGATTCGTGTGTCACACTTGTTTCAAATTTTCTGTTGTTCATCCACACTGATCTAAACTGCAATTTTTCTATTCAGTACAGCATATATCAGTACATCTCTTGGAATATGAGCAGTTTAAATGAAAAGCCATTTTATGAACAATATTGGGAAACAACACAAGAAGGATGCTTGGATGGCCATTTTGTCTGTCAGCAACCGACAGGTGACAGGCTCCATACATGACCAGTGCCAGACTTAACCATATCAAACATGTAGTAATGTGAAAGCATGACTGACCTTCTAATACTCTTCTAGAAAATTGCTTGCCAACATCTTGGCAGCTTACATTCAAAATAATCTATCTCCAAGTGCCCTCCTACCCTGCTCTTTGTAAACTGAAAAATGATAAAAACTCAAGCTTTCATATTCCTTACCCACGGCCAGAGGAGTTGTTGAGTCTGGAACCAGGCTGCTCGTTGCTTGATGTTATCAACCATGGTGGCAGCATACTGCTTGATGTTTTGATCTGTGACTGGTAGGCTCATGTCTGGATACGGTACACCTGCTGGTGGCTTGGGGAACACGGCATAACCGTTCCAATAGAAGCCAGTCCTGAACAAGAAAAGCCGTCAGAAACCATGAAAGAAATAGGTTTTTCTTCATTTGTGACTGAATTCCACAAATTGAGTCTTTGACCTGTCAGACTGTTTATGTACAAGAGGACACGTGGCTCATCATATTTGATTTATCACTTTGGGTTAAATGGATAAATGTTCATATCACTTGGGTATAAAAATTAGCAGGAATTATGCAGGGCTAATCTGAATGTGAACATTTGTGTCCATCCCATAGGGTCTTTAAGAAAGCATCAGTCACTGTCTGAAATACATTTGGGAGCCAGTCCCTCCCAATGGTCTACCCAAACTTCTCTCTGTAACCATTGAGGGGTGTCTGTGCAGAGGTCATAAGATTACTGGGGGCAACACAGTTAAAAAAAGCTATAAAAACTCAGCACTTCATGTATTAACAGAGAAATGGATTGAAGCAGTGTTCGCAACTGCAACTTCTGTAACTGACCTCTTTAATCAGCAGGACTGATATCGAAAATTGGGGCTCAACATAGCCAGAGAACTTCAACGCATGTATACATTTTAACGTTTCATTTTCAAACAATAAACAAACAGAGAGGTAACAGGTGGAATCCTTTTGCTTACTTTAGGGAGAAGGACAGGTGTGGAGGCACACAGTAGCTGTACTGGTCCATGACATGGGTGAAGATCTGCTGGCTCTTGCCCAGAGAGGGCGACGCCCGCCACACAAACTGCAGACCTTTGTCTTTCTGCATCTGCGCTTTGACGTCGTAGTCGATGCGAGAGGTGAGGTGCGCGTCGAATCCCATCAGTGCGAAGAGTGTCGGGGTTGCCGATGACGCTCCGAAGGGGTCCACGTGCCAGCTGAAGTGAGGGCGCTTTCCAAAGGTCTCGTAGATGAAAGAATGCCCCTCTAATGAAAAAAAAAGAAGAAATCTCACCAATCACCTTAACCTTAAGTCCCTGAAACCTCGCAACCCACCACTGTGCCAGAACCAGTAGCTAATGCAAAGGGTCTATGGCTGGGCTGTAATATTTAACAGGATTCAGGGTAGTTAGGGTTTATAAGGCTGCGTACGATATCTTGTCAAGACTATTGGATAGGTTATTCCTATTACAACTAAGTGGGAATATGCTGACAATAGATGTAGCCGTAGCTCTGGAAGCCTGTTCCAGACACGGCCTAAGGAGCATGTCTTATAGCTTTAGTACCTGTCATTTGTTGTATGGTGGCGCTATACTCTGACACTGCCTCATCATGCATGACCTGACCTCCTATAATAAACTCCAGTTGGCCATACTGTACCAGTAGATGTGTTTGTTTCTGTAAGTGAGATAAAGACAAACTGCCGCATAAGATGAGAGGAATGTCACAAGATGTCCACCGGTGTCTAGTCCCAATCGACCAATTGTTACCACACTCATCTTGAAAGTTATGAACAAATAAAATTGTGCCCTCCCGACAGTCATTTTCAGAAATGTTCCACTACCACTTGCTCCAACATCAACAGAGAGAGTCCACCACAAGTCATCATAAGAAATCACAAGTCATCATAGGAAATCACAAGTCAATCACAAGTCATCATAAGAAATCACAAGTCAATCACAAGTCAATCACAAGTCATCATAAGAAATCACAAGTCATCATAAGAAATCACAAGTCAATCACAAGTCATCCAGTCCCAAGTCAAGTCACAGACAAACAAAGGCACTCATTTTGTAATTGTTCAGCACAAGTTACGTGTGATCTGACACGTGAAATGACTTGTGATTTACTTGTGACGGACTTATGATGGACTCAAAGCATAATGAATCTCAGGATATGCCGAAAACATGTATTTTTGTTTATGGCAACGGATCAGCTAAAGATTCACAGAATCCCAATGGAAGAACTGAAGCAAAATAACTGATTCAGACACAAAAAATAGGGTTTAATGGCGAACCTTCTGCATGTCACTGGCAACCGTGGTCCACCAGAGCCTGAAGAACTCTTGCTCCACTGCAATGAATCGACGATTCCTGTCCTTGGCAAGGTTTGCGACTACAGTGGTGTAGACGTCCATTGCATAGGCTTCCACACTCTCCTAAAGCATAGAGACATTTTGATCAACTTGTCATGCTTGTAACAACACTTCGAATGAAGGTACTGATTAAAGTTCCATATACATGCATGTCTCAAATACTCGACTTTCTCCATATTTTAGAGCCACACATTGATGCTTGCTAAATTTAAATTTCCTGAAAATTTGCTTTTCCGGAGTTTGAAAACTAGACCGTTTTCCCTATGGGCTCCGTGCACCAACAAGACAGGGCGCTTTTTCCCCCCACTTTTGAGAACCCTGTAGTCGGGACACACTACATCATGTACGTGTGCATACTGGTATAGCGCTAAGTATGCACAACTCATTTTATTCTAAATGTGCACGAAGCCATTTAGGCAATTTCCAGATTCGTTTGCACACATTAGCGTATCAAAATTTTAACACGAAAATTAGACATCTGCGAAAGGCAGCACTTTCTGATTAGCCTATAAAGAGGGTGAGTATGCTTCTAAAGCAAAAATAAACTGCAAACTAAGCCTGAATGTGAAAATCAAAATTTGACAAAGTTCGACACGTTTTTGTACATGGTGAAAGTGTGGCCTTTATTTACGGAGGTAGTCCAGTAAATTGGCCACATTTAATATTTATGGGGCTATTCTCAGTACGTCCCAGATTGATGTCTTTGGCTTTTCCACATTTTTGCAATGACTGACCTTCACTGATTTAATAATATATGATCAAAAATGTGGCTATAGGGTGCAACATTCGTTCCAATCATTTTACCTGCACTGTATAGATCCAGCCAACATCCATATGACTGTGTGGAATCACAAAGGCCTGGATGATACCCGCCGTGTCACCACGACTTCCCCCGCCGGTTGGTGACCGGGCAGAGTTGGCAAGGACGACGGTGGACCACGGTCCCAGCACCATCACAAAAACAACCGCCAAAACATCCCTTTTAGACAGCATTTTTGTCCAGCTTTGCAGATAAACCGATGAATCGCTGTCGAACTACGCTCAGGACAATCTCTTCCAAGCTACCTAGCCTTTCATGTGGCTAACAAAAGGGATAATTTTTGGGGGAAACGCCGACCGTACAAATTGTTGCAGACAGTTTCCGCATGGAGCTAGCTAGAGTCCATTGACACGTGATTTGTCCCACGTGATTTCGCGCACAGGGATCAACGGCTGTTTTATGCTGTCCGTAATATAAATATAACTTTGTACTAATGACGTCACACTTTGTTTACATGTGCACTTTCCTATGGAGCCAGTGGGGGCCCACGGTCCACTGAGCACCATAGGAAAGCACACAGGTAAACGGAGTGTTACGTCATTAGTACAGAGGCTTGTTGCACTCCGCCCCAACCCCTCCCCCCAGGATAATGTCAATCAACAATCATAAACCGTCTCTGTTCCCACTCCCCCGGGCCAGTGCCATTTTCGCTATTAAAATCTTTCTTCCGCGAGTGTGATGCTTATTCTTCGGTCACTTTCTCAGTGACCCTGGAAACAAAGTTAACTTTTAGAAAGGGATATGTATGCATTATTTGCATACTTTAAAACGCACATTAATGATATCTTTTACAGGTCTATCTCATGCAACTTTGAACACACACACAAAAAACCCACCAGATTTCATGCAAATGTGCTCCTTTCTTTACTAAATATTTTATTCACTTCACTATATGTTTAATTTAATGTAAAACTGAGCATCATTACGGTATACTATTATAATATAATAAAAATAAATATTACTTATAATGTTATTCTTCTATTGCTTAAACCTAGACTTCTAATTTGTTTTATCTTTTAAAGTTGGTTTTATAGGTGCTTTTTTTTAATTCTCTTATATAGTGGTGTCGGTAATATTCTTTTTTTGAGAGAGAGTTCTTTTATTTTACAATTTAAATATAATTTTTATCATAACCTTTGCCTATTACTTTTACAACGTATTTTTCTGTATTGTTTTGCGTTTTCATTCTGTGAAATTTTAAAAGAAATTTGCGTTATTTCAATTGATTAGTTTATTATCAACGAATACTAATATGAAAAGCGACTATGAACATGGAAGCTGCGCTACACAAACGACTAAATTATCATTACAATGTATTATTAAGTTATAAATAAGATACATTTTTATATTCTACTCTCTACAATAATAACTAAAGTCATCATGGAAGAAAATCAGTGATACTTTGGAAATTATGCAACTTCCATATCAGTTGCTTTAAAGTCTTTTTGCGTCCTGGAATGTGCAGCCATTGAATACTTCGTTTCAATACGAGTCAAACAGGAAAAAACCTGTATCTTTATGAAAAGTACGAATCCTACAGTACGATCCACCACATCATTATGTGCGACACTAACTTTCTTCCATGAAACTCACAACAAACTGTGTAAAACATATCCTACTTAAAGATACTTATAAATATACTTAAACAATCCCCCCTTTGTAATAATACAAGTTGCCTGAACGAAATGAGCCTGAACTTTTTTTAACTAATTTATTTTTGAATACTCATTCGAGAGAGCATATCCGTTTTGTTCATTTTGTTATTATGCATAGTTTGACATTCTGATGAATCGACGTTCGATGGTCGAAAACTGTTTACATCAATTCCCATTGTTCAAGACCCATAGTTGCGGCTTGAAACTCAAACGAAAGTTAAGCGATTTATGATAATATAATTTGCAAAAACTGGTATTGTCAAAGCAATTTGCCAAGATACAAAGCGTTCACGACAAATTGTGTATATTCGCAAATGGATACATAAAGTTTAAATTTAAATATAAATGAAATCCGTAATAAATATAGTAACAATTACCAAAGCTTAAATAACATAACATAAACTTTTTAAACTCTAATAATTTAAGAGAAAACAATTCAGTATAATAAAACTCGTTTTTTTGGTTCGCACAATATGCGCTTTTCGTTTCTTCCGCTAAGAAGATTAGGTATTTGTGAAGGATAACACCAGCAATATACACGCATGTATATATAACGTGGAATATCCTGCAACTGTGAATATATATAATATATTCTTGAATACTCAACAACTCGCAGTATATGTAAAAAAATAAAAATAATAATAAATAAAAATAATAATAAATATATTCCAGCTCACAGAGCCTTTACATTTTGCAAGAATTTCATAGAATTCCTCATTTGTAATAAAATAAATAGAACATAATCCTCTATACCAAACTGTATTACTTTAGGTAACAAAAATATATATAAATCTTAAAATTAATGTGGCCTGATATATATAAATAAGCACAAATATATATAAGCACAAATAGTTATCACTACAATTCAAATAATTTGCTACTATTTACTTAGTAGCCTGATTAATAAATCTATATTTTTTGTGTGTGAATACATAGCAGACATTATTTTAGCCATTCAAACCGCCAAGCGGTCGTCCATCTGGCTGGAAGGATACTCCTAATGTGAGGTCAACATATCGTACGAGTGCCTACCGTACCAAAGGTACAGATCGTAATGTGCAACAGACAGGTACGAGTACAATTCTTGGAGCACGTAGAGGTCCCGGATGTTGCGCACCATTTCATTGTCAGTCGGTGTCATGCTGACCGTAGAGGGCGCTGGGAAGCCATCTTGGAAGTAACCCTGATACCCCATCTGTGAAATAATAAAAAAAAAATATTGAGGATTTACTCGGAGTGCAAACTTTTCCTGCAGTGTTATCAACATAGTTATGTGGCCATCAAACATTTTAACGGACTTTTGTGATGTTGAGCCAATGCGTACGACAATCAATGACAATTTGTAATTCAAATCCATTTTGAAATGGATATAATATCTAAACAAACACCCAACACCCCAACAAACAAAGAGAGAACGCCGAAATGTCATTGATTCACACCTGCGCGGGTTACAACCCAAAATAATCTTAAATTTAATTTAACTTTTTAACAATATTATAGATGCCGTAAAGTTTGGGAGAGGCGGAGAGTGTTTTTTTTTCACAATTGCAAATCGCTTTTGTTGTCGATTAGTAAGAGTGAACTTTTGCATACATGTACAGCACGCATACCAAATTTCCAGAAAATCGGTAATTGCGTTCTTGAGAAGGAATAGGGGTATGAAGAAGTTTACTGCGGGGCTTCCTAAATCATTTCCGAAACGTAGAAAAATAGTTATAAACAATCAAACAAACACAAAAAATCGTACATACCACTGCCTCGATCATCGCAACCACACGGACCAAGCGAGCACTGATGATGCTGAAGTTTGCTCCGAAGTCTTTCGGGCTGTTGGACAGATCCTCATCTAGCTTCACCAAGAACATCAAGTCTTTAAAGGCTTTCAAGTTGGACCGATGGAGCTGCAAGAGGGCGCTCTCCTGTCAAGTAAAAAGATAAACTTTAAAAGAGTTTTGTTTTTTATTATTATTATTTTCTACAAAGGCGAAAAATTATGATTTATGGGAAGAAGGAACTGAATCAGTTATTAATGACCATGTTTGAAAGACGCATGCGGCTCGATCGTTTCAGAAATAAATCCTTTGTTGAACACACTTTTGGCAATGTGCATAGGCCTATCAAGACTTCGTTAAAATTGTGCGAAGCGTACATGGAGGCCGGAGAATTGGAAAGAAGCGTAATGAAATCGCAGATATTTGTTTCAGAGCTATTTTATCTGGGTAGCACGGCATGAGTATGACTCTTCTTTACATGCATAAATTCTAAATATCTCTATTTATTGTGTCAGAACACTATGGACGCATAGTTCTTGAAATCAACAAAAGATTGATTGAACTAAATTGTCACGAGAGACGAGAGCCATCCCGTCATACGGATATAGAAGAAGGCGAGATTATACAAAAATGCAATTGAACTATACGTACATTCATGGCAAATCTGTCGGAGGCTGTCAATCCACTCCAATCGGGCATTCCAGCGATGTTCAGGGAAGGAACATGGATATCTGAGTCGCCAAAACGATCCATTTTCTGCAATAGGACAAAAACATTTCAACTCACATTAGTCTTTTTTCCGTAGTTCCGATTATTGAACTATACCATCACGCTGTGGTGGTACCGTTACATGTACTGAAACTATAGCACTCAATACAATGTCACTCCTCCAGTGGGGTCCATAGTGCAAACAATAGTAAACCAATATTATGTGTGTCGATTTTTGTCAATAATAATAGTGTCACGGTCAATGCTCTCGACACAAAAGAGACGTCACTGTTCAATATTGTGCTGTGTGTTACAGGTGCGTTTACAGGAGGGCTGGCAGATTGTGCAATGTTTCGCAAACTTATCTGGGCCGACTGAATCGGAGGGATTTATTTTGCAACCCCCGGGTGTGGCATTACGGCTACTTATCCAACTCCAAGTCAACAAAAACCACACGAACTCTTATCATATAGAGAATTCGGACCGCAACATTGCTGTATCCGTTTACGCAACAGCTTGTGATCAATTTTCAATGATTTTTCTTCATTCGCAATTTAGTCTGTTTTAAGAAGTCTAGTTATTTTATCGGTAGAACTTTTTAAGCAATTTGAAAACAAATTATGCAGGATTGCATTTGTTTCTTCATTTTTGTTCAATAATTTTAAACAGTCTCTAGTCTAAGGAGTACTGTGATAAGGAACTGTGAAAATGGAGGGCGTAATTCCGTCGCTTTTCAGAATTTCTGGACTGGAAAATGAAAATGAACGCTTGAATTTCGGCATCAGTGAGGATAACTTAACGAGAACTTAAACCTATCATAGAAAAATGGAACTCAGAAAATACGTACGTAATCGTCATAGGCGGCTTTTTGAACTCTTCTCAGCTCGTCCATTTCACTGAAGATGGCGGTGTATGTCTGCAACACTTCAGCCAATGGGCTTGGAGTAGCTGCGTCTGATGATGACGTCACACTCACAGCCGTAGGTGCTGCAGAACTCACAGCGATAACTGTTTGGGCAAAAATGGACGATTTACAATTTACTTCATTCTTGAGACAGTTAAATATAAACTTATGTGTTCAAATATGAAATATTAGTAACAAGCACATTATCCGAAGTTGTTTTGGGTACCGGACTACCAAGCCATTAAAATCACCGCAAGGTTAGCACCTTTTACATGCATCATTTTTGGCTTCTAGTCTTAGTATAAGAGGAGCGTTCACCAACTTAAAACTCGACAATATTATTATATGAGAAACATAAAAGAAAGTTGCTATATTTGAGTCACTATACGCCTATTAAATGTTTTTTTCATCATTGCGCCTAAATTTCAGGAAGTTATAAACTATTAACGCCGTACGGAATTCGGCACCAGCATACTTTGCTATATCAAATCGCCAAATTCTCAAAAGCAAAAGAAAAATGCTTGGTTTGTGTGTGTGCGCAATTTAATTCGATTAGCTATTTTAAAAATGAGCTCAAGAAACAAAAATTAACTTACCAGAAGCGATGAACGTGAGCAGAAGTCGAACGGAAAGAGCCATTGTTTCTTCGGTTTGTTCGTATAATTGGAACGAAGTTGTCGTGGTGTTTGATAGTTGGTTTACGATCGTTAATAAAATCCAGAGAATCCATCTCCGTTATATACTCTTCGGCGGCCGATCGAGCAGAGCAACTTATTTTTAACTCCATTTGGTATTCCGCTTAAAATTAGAACAGAAAAAGAAGACAAATCAATAAGAAATCGTGTTTATGGCGAAGAACAAAAATACATTACAGGACGCGCGAGCCGATTTTTGTGTTTCATAACTTCCGCTGCGAATATCGGTGTTAGCGGTGATGTTGACATCTGAACAAACTTTTGTTGAGATTCAGCGGGATGACTCATACTTTATGGGGCCTGGGGAACCCCTTTGGTACAAAAGGTAAACCTATACCTGCACCGGTACATCATGCACAATGTACCTCGGGCAGATGAATGACATCTGGGGAAACCCAAACCGCAGCTCTTCTGTAATCTGTTTGGATAATAGCTGCGCATGGAACACAATAGATCGATGAATATCCAAGAGCGCCAACAATGAAGCCCATTGTTGTTCAGCATGCATATTCATCAGTGACGTATTTTCGGCACTGTCCCAGTCCAAAGGTGGTCCTTGCTGTACAACGCGTACGTGAAATCAGGATTCACAATTTCCATGCAATATTTCTGGTATGCCATGCTTTATGGGCAACTATTGTACAGTACACCTTTCTCAAATCACGGCAACAAATGGCCACGTTTCAGCTTTTATTCGCGTTTGTGCAGGTGTGAACCGTTTGAACAGTGGTTTTTTGTGTGCGATGAATGACCTTACATCTGAGGTTTTGCAATAGTGCAAACGTTTGAAATGGACAGGTAGACTTCCAATTGACATCACTTGTTTTTTAGAAGCGGCCGGCCCTAACCCTTACAAAACAATTATAAAAAGATGTACCGGATATGGTTACTTGATCGACAAACACCTGTGACAAAAAGGCCTGAAGTACACTTTAAATAATTCATATTGCTCAATTAATTTACCTAAATGCCGTCAAATTGGAACGAATGCGTTCTATAAACATATAAAAATCCAGTTAGTTCACTTTGCTGTCGCACAGTTATTCTTGTTGTTTTGTTTGTTTATGTTGGGCTGTTAACACATCCGGTTCTCGTCGGTTATGAAAAGTTGCATATCGATTTGAGAAGACCGCCTTAACTATATAAAAACTAAGACCAAAATGCCTGAGCAACATAAAGAAAAGTGATACAAAACCATGGCCTTGAATATTATTACACGCAATTGGACTTGGATTCTTTTTAAATATTTGCCATTTGGAAGAGAGGGTGACGTCTTTAAACCTACGAGATGGTGTTGCAAGCGGATCCGCCCTGATTTTAAAACACTTACGTTTCGCAATATACCATCATTTTAAAAGAATCAGTCTGTTTTTTGAATTATTATCTTTCATTTTTTTCCCACGGTATTAATCGCTGAGTAACACCCGTCCATTCTAATTAATGACTAATAATTTCAATGTTTTCAAAACTTAAGAATTTGTTCCTGACTCGTAGGTCAGTTTACAGTATATAAAATGTACCTCTTTCGCAAGAATTAAGGTTGCAGAACCTGACTCCATCAATGTGAATGAACATGAGTATCCAGAGATATTAGTCCGATATTAGTGTTTAAAAGAAGCTAGTTTCTTCCCCTAATGAGAGCCGATCAATTTGATGGTAAATTTAAACATTCTCATGTCTATAAGTTGGATGATTTAATGGGCGTAAACAGTGGATAAATCACCCACTTTGTTCTACGGGGTTAATGAAGTATATCTTGGACAAAATCGACGGAGGCACCATTGATTGTTCATCCATTGGTTTTTATCTCAATTTTGTGAACCGAAAAAAAAGCCAGGTCTTTTTTCCTATTTTGCATAAAGAAACTGTACGCATTCTTACAGAACAGATATTTTTGTTATGTGTGCCTGTCGATGTGATCATGCCAACGTTCAACTCAATTGGTTTTGCTTCCGTTTCTAGTCCTTTCGAGTGAGCACCTGAGGTATTTTTTCCCACATTTAACCAATGAAAATAAAGGTCCCGAATTAAAAGAAAATGTCCGACAAAAACACTTCATTTCCAAACTTGCTTTCGGTTCCGCGTTGTTTCGACGTTCCTTTCATTTCGAGAGTACTTACCCATAACGTGAACGTAACTTCGTGCATTGCGCAATTTGAAAGGTGGTACAGGTGTGCAAACACTTTTAAAACATTTATGTAGTGTCACTAACCTGGTGTATAGACAATGAATGACGGGCCTTTGTCGTAATTTTGTTCATATCAGGTTTTGGCTTATTTACCTACCTTGATATAATATTAAATTCCTTAGCTAAAGACCAATGACTTTTTGGAGATTTTGGCACGTTGGTTTTAGAGTGGTGATCTCTATTAAAAGGAAAAAAAGAGCAACGGAGAAATATTTACTTTTCTTTTCGAATTTGTGGGCATCGAATCTCTCAAGTATTGACAGAAACTGAAACTTTTTTTTTCCAATATTCTACTTGATATCAGAACTGTTTGGAAATTCTTGGTCCAGCGGTTTATCGCGAGCGGAATCTTGCGATAGTTGGCTTGACTTCACTTTGGTATCGGATGCGCAAGTCCGACCAATTTTGATATTATTTGTTTAAGTTGATTGGGTCATCTATGATGAAACAATTTTGCGAGACGGACAGTGCCCAAAATAATTGCACTACTAGACTAAAAGTCCTTCTCATACCAGTGACCAGTTGGAAAAGAGGAATAATTGTTTAAATTAAAGTCATCCAGGTGTTGTAGACGCAAAAATGGGAGCGAAAGAGGATATCTTGACATTCCATCTTATATTTAGCCGATGACAACCAAGGTTATTTTTTTATTCGTTTAAACAAACCACACATACCCTTATTTCAGCATCCTAAAGTGCATTCTTTTACGCAAACAAGGCTCATATTTATTGAAATTGTGAGTGTCTGTTATGATGTATTCGGACGAAGGACGAAGGTTCTAGACAATACCTGCTGCGTGCCCGTAGTCTTGCAATCATTTGAGGCTAACATCAACCCTGAAATCAGCTGCAAATCATGGTCCAGAAAATGATGCAGTGTATCTAGCCATGATAACAGCGTAAACTAAGTACTCGCCCCTTATTACCACCGTGAGCTACCTGTTTCTCACTCGGGCTCAGGCGTTGCCTTATTTCCTGCGATCGAAAATGAAAACAATGCACTGATAATCAGACGTCATACGAAGAATGTTAATGTACACTTTCTCTTCATTGAGTCTGAGAAAAAGTCAAGATTTCGTTTTAAAGAGGTATCTAACGAAGTGAAAGAATGAAGGAATTTACTGTAAATAACGCATTTACAACATGAACAGTTCACATCGGGAAAAATAAATTTAATTGCATAAAGTCTTTTTACGTAATAAAAGGCTGGTCCAGAGAATTCGACTTATTAGTGTCCCGTTGTCGAATTGTGTGCGGCC